TCTATTGGTCGTATCATTCCAGCTAAAAGACAAATCTTTTTTTTGTCGAAAATCCAATAAATAAAAGGATGATCTGCTTCAAATTGTTCTGGAGGAGGTGATAACGTAAATCGCATGCAGAACATCATACGTGTGCACAAAAAGCTTACAATTAGTGGCAAAGAAAATGCTGTGAGACACTGAAATCAACTAAGTATTTTCGTAATAAAAACCACTGGACTGAAAAGAAAACAAAGCAGTAGAACCTGAATTCGAAAATTAGAACCTGTACCCCGGCCTATTAATTAAAACAGTTTTTATTATTACATAAATTTATAAATTACCAAAATAAAGGCACGCCATTACACTTCATTGCAGGTAGGTTTTCAAATCATATATATTACCTCAGGCAAAATAAAATCAGAAAAAGAAATTTATACCATTCATTCATAACGTATGTCGTAGACGTTCATCTACGTCTTCCATTATTGTATACATATATTTGAAATAACCAGATAGATTTAGCTATTTCATTTCATAGTCGCTCACGATACCAGATTTATTTATTTGAGTTTTTCAGTTGAAAAAGTCATCAAGTTGGCGTTGTTTTTTTGGTAAAAAAAAACCGTAACGAAAAACGCATCTCTTTTATTAATCCATACAGTTCTAATTGATATTTCTGCGTTATCAGCTGTCATCGATTAAATTTTAGATTTAATATGTTAACAAAAAATCAATTTGAACTTGATGATTTTTTCAACTGAACACCCGATATAGTTCTGAACAATAAAATTGAAAACACCTTTATTATAAACAATTTACATAATTATAAATGTTCCACAAAAAGTATGGAGTTATTGCCAAATATAGTAACAAGAAATTATGATGACTGAAAGCTTATTATTCATTTTTGGGATTAAAGAGACGTCCAGCAAAAATATGACTACTGCTTTTATCAAAGAGAAAATATATAAACGGATGATCTATTCTGAACTCCTCTGGGGAAGGAGGCATAGAAAAACCCACAAACTTCATATCTGCCACAAAAAAAAAAAGAATTAGTTGTAGATTTGTATACAGTGGACGTTTAAAATGAATTCAAGTATTTTAGACCCTATCTCAACAATTTTCTACTGTTGGATAGAGTACACAAGTGATAAAATTATATATCAAAATAACAGTTTTTTTCTTCAAACAAAAAATTATATCATTTTGTAACTCAACAAATGACCTTAAAGTTTGGCATTGCAGCCGGTGCAGTAAAAGACTTTTTCTGCCGCTACAGGCTTCAGAAAAAGTGAAACCATACGAACAGAGTCCACATACAAGTTAATTCATTCATTTTTAAAAACTAAAATTCCAATTTTTTAAATTCCCTATAGACTCGCCACAAAAAGTTTCACTTTTGCTCCTGTGATTAATTAAGTAATTTTTGGGTACTATGCTATTGCAACTAGTGGTACGTGTTTAAAATTTAAAGTTGATGGTTGTTCTTACAAAACTGATTCAAGGCCTAATACTGCCTAATACTGCCTTCATATACTTTCATAAAGTAGTGAACCGAAGAGAAACTAAAATATTATTAATTATAATTTGAGATTCAGGTATCATGTAAATAAAAATAAATGGGTGATTCGCGACGAATTCGACAGGTTTAGTTAAAACACAATTCAACATCATTACTTCAGGAAAATAAATTTTGAAATTAATAAAATAGAAAATTGAAAAAAAATATACGAGTTAAGTACGTAGTTTGAATTAAAATTTGTAGCCAATTTAAATTCTTTGGCATAAAATTGTTTTACCTATAACGTTAGCAGAATTTACAGGGAGCCTTAAAGCTGAAATAAAAAAATTGTTTGAAGTAATTTTCCACTTGCCTGAAGCACACTGAATTAAACAAATCCAGTTTCTTTGATGAATTTAAAAAAAATAATGAATACTTTCGTCTAATTCATGACGTTTTTATGTAAATTGAAAAATAGTACTGTGCTCCTAAAACTTTGGGACGATAATTTTTATTTTAATCAATACACGTAGTAGACGCATTCAATATTTTTTAAACACCCTGTATAAACAAATGTAAAAAATATGGGTGCATTGACAAGCATCAAGTGAAGAAACATAATATTTTGCACGTTTGGGTCAATTTGGAGAAAATAAATAGATAAACAGACGGAAACGGAAAACTCAGTTTTTCATATGTGAAATTAGTCATTCGTCAAGTGGAAAAATTTAAAATTAACTGTTATTTTTTAGTTTAACAACTTAATTAAACAGGCACAAATTATTATTCGAAATCTTCCCCAAAAAATCAAAATAGCTATTATTTTTACAAATGTGGACAGTTGAAAGAGTAAATTTCTTTATTTTTTCAATTTTTAAAAACCAATTAAACCGCTTTAAATTATATTTAAAAATCCTGTGGGGTTAAAATCATAATTTCTGGTATTCACACATCCCTTATTTACTTACAAAACATAGACCACATGTAAAAAATTTTCTACTACTATATAAATGTAAATATTTCAAAATAATTCAACATTTTGTTATAGGTATCCACAAAATACGGTAACGTGAATTCAAGCAATTTAAAAATTCTAAAATGTATCACTGCTTGCTAGGATTAACGAGGCGTCCAGCAAAAATGCAATTCTCTTTTTTGTCGAAAAGCAAATAAATAAAAGGATGATCTGCTTCAAATTGTTCTAAAGGAGGAGATAGTGTAAAGCACATGAAGAACATCATACCTGTGCACAAAAAACTAGAATTAGAAAAAAAAAAACGAAGTAGTAAAGCGCGAATTTGAAATTGGAACCTGAACCCCGGCTAAGTAAATTAAATTATGTTTTCTTATTATATAAATTTATAAATGTCTCAGAAGAAGAGCACATTGATACACTATATAACAGGTATACACAAACACGATAGTGTGAAAATAGAAAATGCAAAAAACGGAAATTAACCATTCGCTGCTAGGATTGCTGAGGCGTTCAGCTATATTTTAAAAGTCATCAAATTGGCGATGCTTTCTTGGTAGAAAAAAAGTGGCGAAAAACGTATCTGGCGTCGTGTATAAACTTGATAACTTTTTCAATTGAAATGCGATATACCTATCCCTGGACAATAAATCAATGTAAAATTAAATTGCAAGCATCTTTATTCTTAAATAATTATAAATTTTCAACAAAAAAGGTAGAGTTATCGCAAAATATGGTAACAAGTAATGCTGATCTGTTGATGAGTGATGACTGACAGATTATTATTCATTATTGGGATTAAAGACACGTCCAGCAAAAAGATGACTACTGCTTTTGTCAGAGAGAAAATATATAAACGGATGATCTGCTCTGAACTCCTCTGGGGGAGGAGGCATAGAAAATCCCACACCTACCATACCTGTTCACAAAAAAGAAAGAATTAATTGCAGATTTGTATAAAGTGAAATTTAAAATGAATTCAAATATTTTAGACCCTATGCCAATAATTTTCAACTGTTGAAGAGAGTGCATAAGTGATAAAATTTCTTTTTAAATTAAAATACTTAAATCTGCTTCTAAACATCAAAATAACAGTTTTTTCACAGATGTGCAAGGTGAGAGTGGTACAAAAAACACTTTAAAATTAAAAATTGGTGGTTGTTCTTACAAAATTGAATCAAAGCAATGTTAGTCACACACATTTTCATCAAGTAGTGAAGTAGAAGAGAAAATAAAACATTATTAATTATAAATTGAAATTCGGCCAGTAAAGATAAGTGAGTACTTTTCTTGTCAGAAATCATGTAAAATAAATAGGTGATTCGCGACGAATTTATTTAATTAATAAACTTTGTTGACTGGTTAATAAATAGATAAAATTTGATTAGACGGATGACAGACGGAAACAGGAGTTTTTCATGTATGAATTTAGCCATTTGTGGTAAAATTTAAAATTGACGATCATTTTTTAGTTTAACGGTATTTTATTAAACAGACAGAAATTATCGAAACCTTTCCCTAAAAATAGCTATTACTTTTACAGATGTGGACGGTAAGTGTAAATTTCTTCTTTTTTTTAACCGGATCAGTTAAACCGCTCTAAATTAAATTTAAAAATCCTGTGGGGTTAAAACGATAATTTGTGGGTGTTATTCAGACATCCTTTATTTACTTACAAAACATTATTTACACACGCGACGTTCTAATTGTAACTTGAAGTGGAAAAATTATTTCTTTAAAATATAGTTAATAATTTTTCTTATGAAGTAGATTTAAGAGAGTGTTAAGCACAAATATATTCATAAAGCTCCGAAAAGAAGCGAAACTGAAACATTAGATATGATTTGAAATTCGACCAATAAAGAGGCGACTATTTTTCTTGACAGAAATCATATAAATAAATGGGTGGTTCGCTACAAATTCTTTAACAAATTCAACAAAATTATGATGCCACTTCATGAACAAACCTGAGAACAAAACAAAATATACGTATCACATGTTAGAATTAACGTGCAAACTTAAAGTTCTCATTCTAGGTATTACAAACTTTTGGGGCAAATTGTAGTCCTCAACCCATGAAGGTAAAATGATAGGAGGGGCAGACCTCATTGAAAACGAAAGAATAAAATAAAAAAAAAAAATAAACATAACAGCATGCCAGTAAGAAACGAAAGGACATTCCTTTAGATAGTAATTTTTACGGTCTAGGCCGGAAACAGGGTGTTTCTGGACGATTTACGCTACTTGGAAACCAGTATTTAAAGAAAAAATATTCAAAGTTCATTATAAACATGGTTTAATACTAACGACTAAACTATTCAATATGTCTTGATGGTACTGTGCAGACATTTATTTAAAATGAAAACACACTTCCTCTTAAAAATAAACATGCAAACATACTTCAACTGATGTAAAAAGCTGTAATAGTATAAATATATCATTAAAACTTAAAAAAATTAATTGAGAATGGCTTTGCAAAAAAAATATCTAAAGGATCCAGTAAATTTGTTCATCAAGTTTATTTAAAATAAAACTAGGAAGAAAATATCAATATATTTATTTCTAAGGCACATATGTATTTCAGAAATGCTAACAAAATACAGAATACTAGAAAGGTATGAAGTACTTATATGAAGATGTTACTGAAATAATAATTAGAGTTTTATCATTTTTCCAAAGAACAAAATATTTCTTGTATCTCCCGATTTTTGCATTAGTGCATAGATAAATGGGTGGTCAACAGTAAAGAATAATACTGGATACATTACGAACGAACACGCTACTGCCATGAAACCTGTACAAAAATAATTTTTGTTAATGGACTGAATCAAGCTATAGCAAATGGTACAATTCAGTTATTAACACTTATTTAGCAAGAAATTTTGTAATATTTAAACTAAACAGAAATTCTCAATGTCAATCAAAAAACATAGAACACATGTCCCCGAACGTGATCAGTTAGTTTTAGTTACAATAGAAATTTTGTTGGAAATTAAACACTTCCTAACCTATTAAAATCATTTCTTTAAAATACACACAATACAATAACTACTTTAGATTAATTTTGTAATTGATGTACTTAATATTCTACTTGTTCTATTATGTCATGGCCTCTAATACAACAGATTTGTTTGACTTTTCTAATACAGTGTTCAATAAATTTGCATACAAGTCTTGTAACCGACTTAACGACATTTTATTAACGTGAAGCTGATGGTTATTACGTAAAAAAAAATTGCTCAACAAGATGTGTGATTTACACGATATAAAGGAACCTGTACACAATTTTATTGAGTTAAAAGTGGCTACATATTTATTTTACATAACCATCGTACCGATTTAAATTGTGAAAACCATTACAAGCTGGGGTTAGAAAGACGCCCAGCGAAAAGATGATTCGTTTTTTTTTCGGCCAGAATGTAAATGAAGGGATGATCAGCTATAAATTCTGGTGGTGGGCGAGTAATTAAACTGCATCTCATCATCATAATCATACCTGCAGCAGAAATTGAAAGGAATCTATGTAATTAGTTTTAAACAAAAAAATAGCACACAATAGTAGAACAGCAATGTAGCTAAATATTTTAAAAATATTAATACATCATAACAAGAAAAAAAATAGATAAGGAAGCATAGTTGTTAGAGTTTCAGTTTTAAACATAACAAACGGCAGCTAGAAAGCGATAAAAAATGAAAATCAGGCCTGCAGTCAAGTGTAGTTGTAGAAAACTACTTGGTGAAACAGTAAAACGAGTTAAAGTAATTTAATTACAAAATACAAAGGACAATAGGTCGTTTAAGTTTTAATTGGAAAAAAACTTAAAACGAATCGAGGCAATTTAATCAGTATCTATATTACACGGATTTTAAGAAAAGAGTAAAAAAACATTTTTTCCTTCCCGAACGGCTTATAACGAATAATTTGGTCGAATAAATGTTATTGAAATTTTATAAAATAACATTGTGTAATATTTTACAATTTAACATTGGTTCGAGATTTTGGAAACTTTATCCCCATCCTCCCCCAAAATTGATGACGTCGTCCCTACACTTTGTCTAATACATCCCATCTAAAATGTGAAAATATTATAAATCTGTAGTGCACTTGTGATTTGTCAGTACATGCATTTTTCATGGACGTAATTACAAAAAAAAAAAAAATAGAAATACAAATTTTAAGTATAATTTTTCAAAGAAATGGAATTTGTGGAAATGACGTTTGATATTGATCGAACGTCATTTTATTTCTAATAAAAATAAATTGTTATTACATTCTACATTCCGAGAACAGTTTTATACATGCGAACACAAAATTAGATGTTATAATATGTTCTAAATGTTGTTCAAGTTAATTGCACGTTTGTATAGAATATATTTAAAATTTTTAAAAGCAAACATAAAAATTTCCTCAATGAATTATTTATTAGAGTTATTTGATTGCATTTGACCTCCTTTTAGTATTCTGTAGATAAATGTTTTATCTACGTAGATAAGTGCTAAACTGTGTTACACGACTTTGTACACACATATATATAAACCGTTTAAAATAATTATTATTCCATGGTCGCTGATGATACCAAATATATTTGAATACAGGACACACCTAAACAATAAACCACAGTATAAATATCATTTAAAAATTTTATTTTTTTATTATAAACTTGTAAATATTTCAAAATGAGGGTACACACACATACATCGTTACACTCAGGTACAGGTATCCACAAAATACGGTAACGTGAAAACAGAGAATATAAAAAATTCTAAAATTGATAATTCGCTGGTATAGGATTAACGACGCGTCCAACAAAAATGCAGTTAATTTTTTTGTCCAAAAGCACATAAATAAAAGGATGGTCTACTTCAAATTGTTCTGGAGGAGGTGATAAGCAAATGTACCGAATCGTCATACCTGTGCATAAAAAACTAAAATTAGTCGCAAAAAAAATGCTGTGAGACACTGAAATCAACTGAAGTAATAATAAAAATAACTGGACCAGAAGAAGAAAAAAAAAGGGGTAAGGAGCGAATTTGAAAATTAAAACCTGAACCCTGGCCTAAAACATTTATACATTTTTTATTATTATATAAATTTATAAATAACCCAATAAGAGTACACCTACACCGTTACAACATATTACGGGTATACACAAATACACAGTAACATGAAAATAGAAAATGCAAAAAATTTGGAAATTAATCTGTTTTTTTCGAAACAAAATGCAGTCATTTTCTCTGTGCATAAAAAGTAGAATTAGTGACAAACATAATACTGTGAAACTTCAAAATGAACAAAAATTTCTTTAAAGATTAGCCAACTCAATGAAAATCTCCAGACTACACTTTCGACCTCCATAGGTGACATATCCGTACACCGTATTTCAATGGTTGTCTATTATTAGAAAGTATTTAACTTTTAATGTTTACGCCAAGCAGACACACTTAACCTGTATAAAGCGAAGTTTTCTGTAAAACTAAATGGATGACGCTAGTAATAAGAAGTATAATTCAGCGTCCGGTGGGGCTCTTGTCCATGAAGTACCTGTTTTCACCCACTGATTACTGTAGTTTTTAATAAGTGCGAATATTTCACAACAAAATGGAAACCATCAGTCATACCGACATCTTCGTCAAAAAAGTAGACGTATGACGTATGCTTTGCACAATTTACATAGATCTTGAAGGTACAAAAATTTGTGTTAAAGTGTGTGTAAATAAGTTGAGAGGCCAACTTTTTTCGACGAGTGTATAATAAGGATCCATTTATAACATACACATAAGTATGTCATATGGGTTACTTATGGGCTTACGACGTTCGTGTAAACCTTCCGTTAATGCATAGTTATAATTGAGATAATCAGATGTGACTATTTGATTTCATGGCGGTTCACAATAAGTATCAGATTTATTTGATCATATTATATCTCTGAACAATAAATCACTGTAAAGTAAAATTGCAAGCATCTTTATTTTTAAACAAATATAAACCTTTTACAAAAATGTAAGCCTATGGTGCTACTCTTCGTTACAATTATCACAAAATTTAGTAACGAGAAATACAGATCTTTTGGTGATTGAAAACTTATTATTCATTTTTGGGATTAAAGAGACGTCCAGCAAAAAGATGACTACTGCTTTTGTCGGAGAGAAAATATATAAACGGATGATCTGCCCTAAAGTTCCGTGGGGGAGGAGGCATAGAATAAGTCTCAAAGATCAAACCTGTGTATAAAAAAAGACAATTAGTTGTAGATATGAGATATGTATATGTATATGTATGATGAAACTTTGAAATGAATCCCAGTATTTTAGACTCTAAACAGGTAGACTGGTAGACATAATTTTTTGGACTTAATCCAGCCTCTGAATATTTAAATAGCCCTTTTTTTTACAGATGTGAATGGTAAGGGGTAAAATTTATTTTTAAAAAAATTGCAATATTGAATTAAATTTTAAAATTATGTGAAGTTGGAATCATAATTTTTGAATACTATGTAAACATCGTTTATTTACTTACAAAAGGTTATCTTACACATATTTCATTTTAATCGTAACTAGAAATGAAAAAACTACTTCTTTAAAATACAGTTGATGAGTGTTACAAAGTAGATTTAAGACACTATTAGTCACACACACGTTCATAAAATACTGAGCAGAAGAAAACTGAAACACTAGTATGTATGAGTTGAAAATCGGCCAGTAAAGAGAAGAGTATTTTTATTATCAAAAATCATAAAAATAAATGGCTGATTCGCGACGAATTCTTCAACAGGTTCAATTAAACTACTTTTCAACCGCATTACCAAACCTGAGAACAAAAAATTAAATATTATATGTTAGAATTAACGTGGAAATTTAAAGTTCGCGTCAACCATAAAACAAAAATAAATTTGGAACCATGGAAATGGAAAATTTAGATAAGTTAAAATTAAAATTTGTAGTTCATTTGGACAGTTGCCGGATATTTGACCAAAGTAATTTGATACCCGACCAGATTTATAAACAATTAAACATAACTGATAAATTTCGAATTGTGTTTCATAACCTTCCAATCTTATTTTATGAGACCAGTTTATTCCATGGTCGTTCAGAGCATCCGATTTACTTGATAATAAAATCTTTTTAAATGATAAACCACTTATTATAATTATTACTGTTGCATAATTGTAGATCCTCCAAAGATAAAAATGTACCTACGTACAGAATTAGACATAGTTACAAGTACACACAGCTACAATAAGTGGTGCACATTAAATACGTCTAAGTGAGGAGGGTTAAGTAAACCCGTGTAGAATGGGTTCCATTTTCACTCAGTCCCGAATATTTTTCACACTTTCATATAGTAAAATGAATAGGAAATGTAGATATATTTATGACAAGAGAAAATGTAAAAAAAGGAGCGATTTATATTAAACTACGTTACTTGTGCGCTAAAAAAAAGAATTAATTGCAGAAAAATACACCACGAAAGAAACAAATCGCATCAAGGTATTTTAATCACAAAAACTGCAGGATAATGTTCATAAGTTGATATATATACAGCGCGTTATTGAAAGTTACGTACAAAATAAAATCAGCAATTGGTCTCGAAGTATGAGTGCTAAAAGTAAAAAAACAGTTCAGGTAAAAAAAAAAATTTAGACCGAATTTCTCTCCCCTGAAGTACAGTGAATTAAACAAGTTTCGTTGATAAATTGATTATATCTATTTATGATGACACCTTTATGTCAAAATAAAAAATATTCTGCATTCCCGAAAGTTTTTATTTAAGTAATCGAAAAAGTTAGTTGACTTATTCAATATTTTTTAAACATAAAAGCATCACATTTTACACATTTTGGGTATCAAATTGTTGAAGGGAATAAATATATGAACTTTGACTATCTCTTAGACAGATAATAGATGGAATGGAAAACCCAGTTTTTTACACTTAGGAGTTATGACACGTCAAAAAACATAAAATTATCCATTCAGAGGTTGTTTTTTTTTTAATTTTTAAAAACGTACGTTACGGGATGAGTTAAACTGGTTTAAATTAAATTTAAAAATTCTACTGGGTTAAAATGATAATTTCTGGGTATCATTCGAACATCGTTTATTTACGTACAAAACTTTACACACGCTTCGTTCTAACTGTAACTTCAAGAGGAAAAATTACTTACTCAATGATTTTTCTTACAAAATATCTAAGTTTTATCCACAATCAGGTTCACAAAGTGCCAAAAAAAGAGAAACTGAAACATTATTAGTTAGGTATGACTTGAAATCCGACCAACAAAAAGGTGAATACTTTTCTTGACAGAAATCATGTAAATAAATAGGTGATCCGCTACGAATTCTTTAACAGGTGCAACAAAATTACATTGCCACCTCATGACGAAACCTGAGAACAAATAGTAGATTGTTTTATTAGGATTAAAAGTGCCATTTTTTGCGACGAGCAAATTTTGCATTTGCGAGGCGGAGCGAAGCGAAGCCGAGCGGATGCAAAATTGC